CTGCTGCCAAAAATATGTGTGTTTGTGTGTGGGGAGGGGGGAGGATGGGGGAGGTTAACTTGTTAGCTTGCAAGTAAAGTAAAAATCTCAGACCTTTCATAGTTTCTAACTTAATCACATCATTTTGCCACATTTGCTCTTTGTTCACAATTTCTCCCTTATTCTTGTGTTGCCTATTACACACATATACATTCTTGCTGAATCATTTGAAAGTTTATGCAAAATCATTTTTTTTGAATAGTATCCTATTTTAAGCCTTATCATAATTTAACCTGTCTGTACTACTACTCAACATTTAGATTGTTTCCAACAGTTTGATATTATAAAAAACTGTGATGAGGTTTTATACTAAACTAGAGGCCCGGTGCACAAAAATTTGTGTACTCGGGGAGGAGGGGGGGTCCCTCAGCCCGGCGTGTGCCCTCTCGCAATCTGGGACCCCTCAGGAGATAACGACCTGCTGGCTTAGGCCTGCTCCCGGGTGGCAGAGGGCAGGCCCAATCTCTAGGTGCAGCCCCTGGTCGGGCTCAGAGCAGGGCCGATTGGGGACTTGGGGCACCTTCCCCTGTCATGCACAGAGCAGGGCAGATTGGGAGGTTGCGATGCCACCCTCAGTCACACTCAGGGTAGGGCCGATTGGGGGGTTGGGGCACCGCCTCCTGTCACACTCAAGGCAGGGTCGATGGGGAGGTTGCGGCCCCACCCCCTGTCACGCACAGAGCAGGGCCCATCAAGGGGTTGAGGAGCTCCCCCCTGTCACTCACAGAGTAGGGCCGATAGGGGAGTTGGGGCACCGCTCCCTGTCATACTCAGGGCAGGGCGGATCAGGGGGTTGGGGCGCCACCCTCTATCACCCACAGAGCAGGGCCGATCAGGGGGTTGGGGCACCGCCGCTGTCACACTCAGGGCAGGGCCGATGGGGAGGTTATGGCTCTACCCCATCACAGAGCAGGGCCCGTGGGGGTGGGGGGGTTGGGGTGCCGCCCTCTATCACCCACAGAGCAGGGCCGATCAGGTGGTTGGGGCGCCACCACTCTCACACTCAGGGCAGGGCCGATGGGGAAGTTATGGCTCTACCCCACCACACACAGAGCAGGGCCCGTGGGGGGCGGGGGGGGAGGGCAGGGCGCCGCACCCTGTCACACACAGAGCCGCAGGGCAATCAGGGGGTTGGGGAGCTCCCCCCTATCAGGCACAGAGCAGGTTTGATCAGGGGGTTGGGGCGCCTTCCCCTGTCATGAACAGAGCAGGGCGGATAGGGAGGTTGTGGCCCCGCCCCCTGTCACACACAGAACCGTAGGGCGATCAGGGGGTTTGGGCGCTGCCCCCTGTCACGCTGATCCCAGTGCCGGGAGGCCTCTCGGCTCCGCTGATCCTAGTGCTGGGAGGCATATTACCCATTTACTATATAGGATAGAGGCCTGGTGCATGGGTGGGGCTGGCTGGTTTGCCCTGAAGGGTGTCCTGGATCAGGGTGGGGGTCCCCACTGGGGTGCCTGGCCAGCCTGGATGAGGGGATGATGGCTGTTTGCAGCTGGTCACACACCCTTCAGGGTGGGGGTCCTCACTGGGGTGCCTGGCCAGTCTGGGTGAGGGGCTGAGGGCTGTTTTCAGGCCGACTGAAGCTACCAACTGCTCCTTTTTTTCTTTCTTTTTTTTTTTTTCTGGGCCAGCTTTAGCTATGGCTCCAGCTCTGAGGCCTCTGCTGCTGAAAGAAGGTATCTGGTTTGCTTAGGTTCTATAATCGAAACTCTGTATCATCTCCAGCTCTGAGATCCCGGGCTCACTGAAAGCAGGTTTCTGGGGTTTTGTTTAGCTTCTATATTTGTTACAATGTTTCTTAAACTGCAAGCTCAGAGGCCGGCAAGGCAGGCGGGGAACGTTGGAGTCCTCCATCACTGAAGCAACCAAGCCTCATGTTAGTTTCAAGCTGCCTGGCTGCCGGCCGCCATCTTGGCTGGCAGTTAATTTGCATATCTTGCTGATTAGCCAATGGGAAGGGTAGCGGCTGTACGCCAATTACCAGGTTTCTCTTTTATTAGATAGGATATTTTTTTCATGTTCTATTCTTTTTTTTTTTTTTTTTTTTTTTTTAGAGAGGAAGGGAGAGAGCAAAGTGAGAAAGAAACATCAATTGGTTGCCTCCCATATGTGCTCCAACCCGGGATCAAACCCACAACCTCGGTATGTGTCCTGACTGGGAATAAAACCTGCAAATTTTTGATGTACAGGACAACATTCCCATCAACTGAGCCACTGTGGCAAGGCTACACTGAATTTTAAGTTGATTTCCAACTGACAGAATTTTATGTATTCCTACCTCCTTTTTTAGGTTATACTGAAAGGAAAAATGATTCCATTAAATGAATCAAAGAAGCCTTTACATAAATGATCATTTGCTCTGCAAAATGGCCTCTTCTTTATTTCCCTTGCAATTTCCACCTCCCACTGATCACTGCCTGCAATTTGAATACCCCCACTTGCTCTTTAAAGAAGTCACTGGCCTGTTGGGCTCAGTGGACTGAGTGTGGGCCCGCAGACTGGGCCGTGGGTTCCATTCCGGTCAAGGAGGCAACCAATTGATAGAATCAATGTGTCTCTCTCACATCAATGTTTCTCTCTCTCTGTCTCTCCCCTTCCCTTTCACTCTCTCTAAAAAAAAAATCAATGGAAAATATCCTTGAGTGAGGATTAACATCATCAAAAAAAGTCAGGAAAATAAGGCAACAGGATCTCTACACAATCTGTAGGGCCTGAGCGGATGAGACCCCCCCAAATGCTGAGTGCCCTGTCTCAATCTCTAGATGTCTTATGGCTCTAAATACCACCATCCCCCGGTGAGTCTCAAATCTCTCTCTTCTCCCTTGAACCTCAATGTCTAAATCCAATTGCCCATGCAACTTCTCCCCTTGGATGTCTAATAAAGATTTCAAACTTAATATGTAAAACAAAAATCCTGATTTCTTTCTTCAAAGCCTTTTCTTCTACAACTCAATTCTTCCAAGTTGCTCACAATGCCGCTTTAACTTCACACTCCACAGCTCGTGTATTTGCACACCGTATCCTCTCTACTTCTAAAATATGTCCAGAATTCAGTTCTGTTTCATCACCTCGGTCACTACCACGATGGCGTGGGTTACGGCAGTCACTTCCACACCTCATGCGTTCATCCAGCTCCCCCTGCATCACCTCGGGGAGACCCAGGGCTGTCTCTTTCCTTCCCAGACACTCCATAAATACTTGCTGAAATAAGTATTCTCTATCACCACCTATGCATTCATTCGTTTAAAGATGGCTGGGTGTGTGAAAATGGACGGTAGGGGACCTTTGCAGATGTTTAAAACCCCGAGACAAGGCGGTGGATGTAACTGGGAGTCAACTGGTTGGTGCAGTTTGCACCAGCGGTCAGGTTCCCCTTGCAGGCAGGTTCCCAGGCGAGCCAGCATCCCTCCGTTTGGGGCCGCTGGGTGTGAAAACGCACGCTCCACGCCACACCTCGCCCTCCTGCTTGGCCACTGGGCGCCCTCAGCCACGGGGAGTGTTGTAATGTACCCCGCAAATCACAGAAGGACGCCTCAAGAAGTCGAATTAAAGAGTCACATTTATTGCAATCCGGGACTATGAGGGGCCATTCCCCAAATCTCATAGTGATAAGATGGTGGCAAAGCCAGACTTATATAGGCAAAGATCACAAAGGTATTGATTACATCTCAAGGTTTGGAATGAGGAACCTGGTTTGCAAAAAACCAGTTTACAGAAGCAGAAGCAGCATGTTATCTAAATTACAGTTTTGGGTCTCCGATCACTGAATTGACAAAAACACGTTCTCTAGAGCCCTCGGGTCTGGAATGAGGAACCTGGGTTAAACTTAGGCATGTTATCTAAACTACAGTTTGGGTCTAGAGCCCTTGGGTAACCTGGGTTAAACTTAGGCACTTTATCTAAATTACAGTTTTTGGGTCTCCGGAACACTGCGTCAACAGGGACACGTTAACTGGAGCCTCTGACCTTGGGATAACTCTGTGTCCTTCCTAGGTAAAGGAAAATGTGCTTTCTAAGACCAGTATGACCACTACAAATGGGATATTCACATAATCAATAGGGTATTTAATCGAATGGAATGATTTATATAATTCAGAAAGTCAAAATAACTTTTCTATTGTTAAATAAAGCAAATAAGTACAGAAGCCGAACAGCAGGGTTAAAGTTAAACTATAGTTTCTACCTGAGATGACTGCTACCATATTTCAGGAGCCCGCGGCCACGGGGAGCCCTCAGCTACGGGGAGCCCCTCGGCCACAGGGAGCCCCATGGCCACGGGGAGCCCCTCGGCCACGGCCACGGGGAGCCCTCAGCTATGGGGAGCCCCTCGGCCACAGGGAGCCCCACGGCCACGGGGAGCCCGTGTGTCGGGGCTGGAAGAGGCACTAGAATGCACCCCAGGCCCTCGTGGACCTCGCCGACTGAGGCTGCGCGCTGACTAACCGGACGTCTCCCGCACACTCTCTGCTGTAACTTAAACGCAAACGGTAGGGAAGACGCCTTAGGACACAATCCTCAGCCTGGCGACCGCTTAAGGGGCAGAGAGCACCTGACAGAGGCGCCCTTCCCGCCCAGCCTTCGGACCCCAAGTGGCAGGTTCCTCCATCGCTACATGGAAGTGAAGGTAGGGTCGTTGGGAGAAGTCAAGCTAAGAAGACAGAACGAAAGCCTCATTTTCTTCATCCAACATGTGGGCGGAAGTTACAGATGAGAGAACCGGCCGAGCAGACCAAGCATCCCGATGGCAGAAACGGGGACCTACCCAAGATGGCGCCGGAGGCGAGTAGCAGGCGCGGGAAAGAGGCGGGGGTCGCCCTGATCCAAGATGGCGGTAGCGATGGAGGCGAACCGCTGGGCAGGGAGCGCAGGAGCGTCTTTGCCCTCCTCCAAGATGGCGGCCGCCGTGGGCGCGGTCTCTGGCCCCGCCCCCACGGCCTCCGCCCCGCCCCCGCCCCGCCCCCCGCCTCCTCGCAGGCCTGAGTCCGGGCGGGCGGTGGTGCTCCCGCTGAGAGCCAGCTCTTGGCACTTGACATGGCGGCTGCGGCGGCGACTGCAGCGACCAAAGGGAATGGGGGCAGCGGGGCCCGGGCCGGGGCCGGCGAGGCCAGCGGCGCGCGGAAGAAAAGGGGCCCGGGGCCTTTGGCCACGGCGTACCTGGTCATCTACAATGTGGTGATGACGGCGGGGTGAGGCTGGGGCTCGGGCGGCGGGGAGCGAGCCGGGCCGGCGAGGGGCTCTGCGGCGGGCGGAGCGGCCGGGCCGGGCCCACCGCGCACAGCGCAGCCCGGCGGCCCGGGACCCGGCACCTGGGCGACGGCGCTGCCCCGACTCCCGCCTGGGCGGGGGCCCAGCGAGTTCGAGGGCGGCGGGCGCGGCCCGAGCTGGAGTTCGGGGCCCCCACGGGGCGCGGGGCAGGCTGCCCGGGCGCAGGTCCGCGGGCCTCGGAGGCCGGGTGGGCTGGTCCCCTCCCGGGGTGGGGGGCGGTGTGCCGGGCGCCGGTCCCTGCGGCGCGGAGAGCGGGCGGCCGGGCGCGGATGGCGAGCCGTTTCCTCCGAGCGGGTGGAGGACGCTGTGGCTGCGGAGGGACCGTGCATTTAGGCGGCTGTTTTCAAAATCCAGGCTGAGCCCGACAGAATCGGGAGGAATGGGGAAGCCTTCAAAGTTTTTTGACCGGTGACATGAGCAGAGCTGTGCCTTAGACGAGTTGAGGCTTTTGAAGGCTGACTGGGGTGGGGAAGGCGCGGAGTGGAGGGCAGAGCTGCTGGGGAGGAGGGAATGGACCCACCGAACCGCTTCCTTCCTTCCTCTCCTTTCTCCCTCCTGTCGGTCCATTCCTGCCACGGCGGCGGTTTAGTTCTAGTTCTGGCACTAACTAGTTGTGCAACCTTGGATAAATTACTTTATTTCTCTTGGCCTCCGTTTTTTTTTTTTTTTTTTTTTTACCTGCAAAACTAAAGAGTTGGGCTCTCCCAGGTTCCTCCAAGTCTTTGATCCCAAGATTTTGGGTGAGATGGATCACAGGATCAGACTATTCCTTACATATTTTTAAATGTGATTCATATGTAAAACGTTTTCCTTAACCTGTTTATTATGAAACTTTCAAACATACAGGAAACTTGGAAGAACTGTAGAGGGAACATCCATTTTTATTTATTTTTGCAATGGCGGGTGCAAAATTTGAAATATACAGAGTCCCAAATAAAGTATGCACACTAACAGCTGATAGCTCGATTTTTATTTTAATAAAAATCAGAGTGTGTGTATCCATTTTTGGACACCCTATATACAGGCTGTACAGGGAAAATCTTCCCTCTCAGCCTTCCCTTCCACCCAGACCCCCTCCCTGGGGGCAGCTTACTTTGTGTATCCTTCCCATGCTGATATAAGTAAAAATGTACATGTATTTCCCCCCTTCCCCACGCCTATTTTTAAACACAAATGCTAATGTCACATTAACGTATTAACATCTTGGGAAGATCATGGGCTTTATTGCCCATGATCTTGTTAGAAATGGCCAGTGTTGCAACCTGGGCTCAGAGAAGTTGTGACTTGCTTGACGAGGTCACCGAACTAGTTCCTGTTAGATCTGGATCTAGAACACACAGGCCAATGAAGAAATATTACAGATGCAAGTTTTCTTTGTCACATAAATGGTCACAGTGATTTTAAAACTATTCAGAACTGTGCATATTTATATTTATATGTAAAATCCTTGCCTTAGCCAAGGGCATTGTTGAGAACACTGGACCTGGAGAGGGATTTTAGGGTACATTGGGGAAGAAGAAAATAAGTCATTACTCCTGGACAATGAATGTAGACAAGGGGTGGAGGGTAAGGAGTGATATCTAGGAAGAGGAATTAGAACTGTGAGAGTACAGTAAGCTTTTTTCATTAGATATAGCATGACACCATTAAGAAGTTCATTTTTTCTTTTACAGACTATTTGATGTCTTTGTATGACATTTTGTAGAAATAACATACAATGCTGCAATACATAGTTGAGATTTTACATATAGGTAAATCTATTACTGCCTTCAAGGAGTCATACCTTAATAAAGGTCTGTTCATTTTATTATGGAACTTAAATGAAAAAATATTTCTGGGCCTGAGAAATTTATTTTTTTTGAAAAGGACAGTAGAACAGAAATGTAACGTTTACAGTTACATACACCTAAGTGCTTTCCTGTTTTGCTTTTGGTATTGATTTGGATTTCTTTAATGAATTGATTTTGGGAAATTCAAACAAAAAACCCTTTTATTCTTTAAAAAAAACCAAAAAACCCAATGTATTCTTATTTCGTTTGCAATTAAAAAAGGATAGATTTTAAGATATGGGTATGTTCCAGTGAGATACTTGTAAAAATGACTTAAAATATCTTCTCTCCACCCATTATTACACAAGCCATTTAAATTTTTCTTTTAACACTTTTTTTTTTCTCTTGTCTTAGACCCTTTGGCACTTACTTTAGCTGCTCAGGGACTGCTTTAGCTTAGTCCCTTCATTTTGGCCTTGTTCTCAACAGGCAAGGTTGCAAAAAAGCCGAGCTCCAGATGGGTGAGGTGCCACTGTGCTTTTGCAGAGCACTCTTGGTATGCTGCAACATTTCTGTTGGCATTTGAGAGCTATAGTTGATAAATCCAGGACACTGATTCTCGAAGTCACCTCTAGCAATATCTGTTGTTACCACATCTTCCTATTACCTTAAATCCTACTTACCTTTTTTAAATTTTTTTTTTGATTGCTCTTTTTCTCTTTTTCTTAGATGGCTTGTTATAGCAGTTGGTCTGGTGAGAGCATACCTGGCTAAGGGCAGCTATCATAGCCTTTATTATTCCATTGAAAAGCCTTTGAAATTCTTCCAAACTGGAGCCTTATTGGAGGTAGGTCCTGAGATTTGTTGTTGTTGTTGTTGATTTCTATTCTTATAAAAGAAAAACATGCTACTAAATTATAGTGAAGTAGCCATATCTGTTGGGTTTGCTTTAAATTTTGAAGACTTGCCTTATAGTATACTATAATGGTGATACCGAGACCATGTTAAAGTACAATCTCATTTAACTTGTATTACCTGGAATCTCTTTTACATTCTACTTCTGTTAGAAGTCAAATGAAACAAGCTTATATTGGGTTTTTTAAGCTTCTAGGGACATCTTAGGGAAGTGTTAGTAAACTCAGATACTTTCAGGGGCAGGCATATAATGGAAGCAGGAAATTGTTGGGTATAGAATGTTGGGAGTGGTAGATGTAAGAAATAGTGGACCTGTTTAAAGTTATCCAATGTAAAAAAATTTTTAACAAAAGCTTATTAATTTTCCTGTATTAAGGTTAATGTATCTCCAATCCTGTCTCCTGGGGTCAGTATATGTTAGGATTTTAGAGCTGCAAGTGACCGAAACCCAATTCAAAGTATTTTAAGCAAAAAAGGAGTTTACTGATTTCTGTGGTTGATAAAGATACAGATTTAACTTACAAAATCAAAGGAACCAGCTCAGCAATGAGAACCAAGGATTTGACGTTGCCACACTCTTTCCATCTCTCTCTGCGTATCTCTATTTCTCGTTGAATGTTGGTCTTAGACTCTCCCAATGCATGCTGCCTTCTCCAAATGGTAGGAAACAGAGAGGGGGTTTATTTTCACAGCATCTGTGTCACAGTTTTAGGAAAGGATTCTGGTTGGCCTTGCTTAGACCAGTCACTCTTGCCCGTGGTTAGGCAGGACTAGGAAAGGGGAAATGGGGGTAGCTTTGGGCACACAAAGTCAATAGCTACCAAAAGTTTATTATGGTGAAAAACCTTCTGGTTGAAGAGATTTGGTATTTCATTTCATTTTACTTAGCCTACAGGGCAAGCCCATTATAACATTCGGAAGGATGTTTAAGAAAACATTTACTTCCATGAAATAAGATGTGATACCTCAGCCTCTCACCCTCTCATTTGTAAGCAGAAAACTGTAGTTTTTGTTCTTTCCTCTCAGGAGGCAGAGAGATTTCTTTCTTTCTTTCTTTCTTTATTTATTTTTTTAATATATTTTATTGATTTTTTTTTTTACAGAGAGGAAGGGAGAGAGATAGAGAGTTAGAAACATCGATGAGAAAGAAACATCGATCAGCTGCCTCCTGCACATCTCCCACTGGGGATGTGCCTGCAACCCAGGTACATGCCCTTGACCGGAATCGAACCTGGGCCCTTTCAGTCCGCAGGCCGACGCTCTATCCACTGAGCCAAACCGGTCTCGGCCAGAGAGATTTCAATACTGTCTATACTTACACAGTTTTGGTAGATGGTATGATGAAATGAGTTCCAACTGGGAGTCGGAGTGCCCGTATTCTAAGTATGCTGGTCTTACCTATTTCATTGTGAATTGGGGCAAGTCATTTATCTCTTGTTCATCCCATTTTCTCATTTGTAAAATAATTAGGTTAAAGTAGCATTCCAAAGCTCTTTCCTGCCCTAATAGTTTGAGTCTGAGGAAACCAGCAAATCCTAGTGTGGGCCATTTTTTGAACTTAGAGTCTTGCAATTTTTTTGGAAGGGGCAGTAGTAATTGAGTAGTGCTTTGTCTTCCAGAGCTTTGGTCAACACAATATTGTCAGGCTATAAAGAAGCAAGTTTGGATCAAAACCATCAGAAACTGACCCAGTCCTTAATACAGCAAGAAGTTGGAATACTTTGCCTTGGCCAGTGTGGCTCAGTTGGTTGAAGTGTTGTCCTATACACTGAAAAGTCGTGGGTTTGATTCCTAGTCAGGGCACATACCCAGGTTGCAGGATTGATCCCCAGTCTGGGTACATGCGAAGTTTCTCTTTTGCCCTCCCTCCCCATTCCTCGCTCTAAAGTCAATAAATATATATCCTTGGGTGAGGATTAAAAAAAAAAAAAGTTGGAATACTTTAATAATTTAAAGGGGATTCTATCTCTGTAAGACTTTATAATATTGGAGATATTATTTAAGAAATGTAAGTATACATTAAATAGTATGATACAAAATCCACTCAGGAATCAAATCATAGACTTTAAAGGATTAATCCAGGGTTATCCCTATTGAATTTTAAACAGGGATTTAAGGAAATAATTTGAATTTTTGGTTTTATCTCTGTTATTCCCACTGAGAAGCAAATAGGTGGCAAATCCTGGGTTTGCTTTTTGAGGAAAGAACTCTGCATAATGAAGTGAAGACTCCCAGGAATATGCAGAGAATTAGCAGTGATTACAGGAGACTCCTCAGCCTTACTAAAACTACACTGCCTGTGTTGTCGCTTGAGAGTGTTATATTGTCCCCCCAACTTACACTGTACAATAATTACATGCGCATAGTATTTAAAGATGGGTTATCCTTATGGGAACTATTAGTGCATGACAGTATAGCTTGTTTACAGGAGGAGAAAATGAATGCAGGGAGGTCAGCTACTCATTGTGTCACTATGCTGAATATTTAGAAGGTTCTGTGGGTGTTTGCTTGAAAAGAAAATAGAGATTACTTGTTCTCCAGGAACTTCAAACCTTAGGAAAATATAACACTGCCTTTTAAAAGATTTTGGAACATTTACCAAGCAAGTACAAATGGGCATGTAGTGGTGTAATACAAAAAGACAATTTCGTTTCTGAGGAAATTATAATTTTTTTGCAAAATGAGTGCAAAGATATATTGATTTGGTGTTACAATAATATAGCTTTTCTAATTTTTTAGTTCATAGTCATCTAAGAATGTCTTGAGTATTTTTTATAGAAAACGTTTTCAAATTATTCCAAGGGTGATAATTTAAGTATGTGTTTGAGTCGCTATAATGGGTGCTGTGGATGTTGAGCCTTTGCTAAAAGGCTTTTAATAAAAAGCTTAAAATCTTATTGGGTAGATGATTATAATAGGTCCTTTGGCTAGAAATTACAGAGCCTCCTTAACTAACTTATACAATAAAGGAGATTTATGATAAGATATAGGATGTTCCATGGAATCCAAGGGCAGGGATGCCACTGGGCCCTAGGAATGGCCTGCAGTCAGGGACTGGAGCATCATAGGGAACCCAGGAGTTCTGGCTCAGTCCCTTACCTCTGCTGTTCTCTCTCTCTTTGTCTCTAATTCTTTCTTGTCTTCTTGCAAACTAGTTTTTTTGGTTTCTTAGTCTACATGACAGACAATGGTAACAGAAAAGCCTCTGAGATTGCAGTTCCTGAAATCAAGAGAGCAGCTAGTTGGAAACTGAATCTTACCCCGAATTCCACATTCCCAGTGAAGGGCCTAATTTATCCTGTTTGAATCAGGAGCTTATTCCTGGACCAATCACATGCATACAGGAGCAAGGTTACATTCATTACATAGAAGTTGGAAATGAGGGGTGATTTCTAGAAAAGGGGTGTTAGGTAGAAAGCCCAAGCAGTATTTACCAAAATACTGAGATACAATACAAGGAAGATGATAGTGTATGAGATAATTTATAAATTGACAGAAAGTAAATATTGATAATCTGTGAGCCAAGAGATCAATATGTGAACAAATACAGTCTGTGTTGCAGAGTATTGGCTAATTCTGAGGTCTAATTAACATAGGTAGCAAAAATATTTTTAAAGATGCCATCATGTACCATATAATCAAAGTGAGATGTCTCTGTACCATAAAATGAATTACTAGTACATGTTATAACATGGGTGAATCTTGAAAACATGCTATATGAAAGAAAGAAGCCATACACAAAAAGCCACATTGTGTGATTCCATTTATATGAAATGTCCAGAATAGACAAATACATAGAGACAGAAGGCCGGGCTCACTGCTAGAGAGCACAGCTGTGGAGGTGGTAGCCTCTCCCACCTCCACAGCAGTCGGACATCCCCCTGAGGGCTCCTGGACTGCGAGAGGCAAGAGGACACAGGCCAGGCTGAAGGACCTCCCCCACCCCTCCGCCCCTGTGCAGGAATTTCATGTACCAGGCCTCTAGTAAATCTATAATGACCTATAATGATAAGTTTCCTTTTTACTTCATTCTTATTTTGGATTCATGATATTCAGGGGTAAGGACAGATTCTTATGTTTGCAGCTTTGTTAGAGTAGAGTGAAAGTTTAGAAATTAGTAGATTGATGCTACATTATGTTAGTTTAAATTTATTTTTGAGAGAATTCAGACTTCTGAATATGTTTAGTTAACATAAAACTGTAATTGTAGCAGACACTTTCAAATACTTATGATTGGATATGCCTGTGATTGACAGTCTTTACCCACCCCCAAGTCTTCACCTCCTATTGCCCCTGTGTCCATGGGCTATGCATCTATATATATAAAACCCTAAGCGGCCGAGCAGATGATGCGCACTGACCACCAGGGAGCAGACGTTCAATGCAGGAGCTGCCCCCTGGTGGTCAGTGCACTCCCACAGTGGGAGCGCCGCTCAGCTGACCAACGGTGCCAGATGCTGGGCTCATGGCTGGCGAGCACAGCTTCAGTGGCATGAGCCTCTCCCACCTCCAGGGCAGCGCTACCGAGCAGCAGCAGCAGAGGCAGGCATCCCTGGGCTGGGATGAGTGGGAGCTGCGCCTGGCCTGGGCTCAGGCTCCTTCCCGGCCACCTGCCACTTCTTGCACTGCTACATCCCTCGGTAGGGGGATGTCGGACCAGCCTGATCCCTGCAGGGATGCAAGAGGGCACAGGCCAGGCTGAGGGACCCCACTGGTGCACGAATCCATGCACTGGGCCTCTAGTATCTATATAATAAAGAGCCAGGGTCCTAATGACCGATTACGACCAAAGGTTTGACCGAAGGTTTGCCACAACCCAGCACTGACTGGGGCCACTGCAGGTGCCCCAACACAGCACTGACTGCCTAGGGGGCTGCGGATCAGGCGTGGAGAGAGGCCTGCAGAGAAAGAGGCAGGGTCTGATCCATAGCC